ATCTTCATTCATTTGGGTTCCATGGAAAATTATTTTCATAAATCAAAATATCTTATTGAAAACAATTAATTCCATTAGTAATGAATAAATAATTGTGGACAGTATTAAAGAAAAGTATTGGCCAACCAGTCACTTTGCACGATGGAGAGTTGAAAGTTCTCGAACCCAAACTGAATCTACAATTAAGAAAAAACGAACAAGATCATTCATCTCGTTAACTATATCTTGCTCCTACACTAAAATTTATAATAATTATCACTTCCACCTTTGTAACCAAATCCACCAAACAGCGAGTTAATTGTTAAAACTATACTCACACTTGATAATAGTTTACTCCACCTATTTATACACATTCTCCCTTTACCGTCACTGTTAGCTGTGCAAAAAGAGGAACGGGGAAATATTGCCACATACTTGTCGTAGTAGGACAGCACATCGCACCTAGTTCCTTATCAAATTAAAAGATCAATCATCAATATCTTAATTCACAAGCCATGAATACTTGTATATATATAGTTTGATCTGAAACTCTCTCATTCTTGAATTAATGAATAGATCCTTTGTTAGAATTTATCAATCAGCAACATTCTCATTCTTAAGCACACGAACTAAATTATTTTACCATTTTTTTTAGAATTGATGAACCATATTCATGTTGACAAATATAGAAAAGGTATGAATGAAAAGGGATGTCTTCACAATCCAGATGTATTTGGTAGGTTTCGAATACAAATACATGTATTTCTGGCGAAGATATATTCAAAACCGAACAGATACATCTCTTGTGTAGAGATCATTCATTCTCTTTCAAACCTTTTCTACATTTTTCAGAATTATTCACATTGTTTATCATTTGATAAGAGACACGTCACTGCCCTGCTGACCAAAAATAATGAAATATGCGATTAATATTTCTAAAACCTAAGGTGAATAAATCATAATTGAGGAAAGGAGACAAAAGAGACAGAGATACGTTGCTAAGGACAGAGAAAGACTAGAACCAAGGCCGTGGGTAAATATGGAAGTAAATAGATAACATACAGTACATGGCAGCTGCTGTAAAAAGTCAACATATAAAGCAAATACAATAGGCCTATACTTTCGAATCATAACACGTGCTTTGTGTTGTGAAATTTTCAACAATCATTATCATTGGGTATCATTGCTGTTCTTGGTGTTTTTGTCATAATTAGCATGATTAATACACCATTCATTATCATTATTGCTAACATCGTTATATACGTGATTTTGATTCTTATTACTGTTATCATCATCACCTTTACTATTATTATTATTAACATTATTGTTGTTGTTATTATTATCATCATTATTATCATCATTGTTATTATTTTTATTGTTATTATTGTTATTACCATTATCATTGTTATTATTGTTGTTGTTGTTATTATCGTTATCATCATCTTTATTCTTTTTACATCTATTTTTTTTTTGTCAGTATTATTATCATTATCATTATTATTGTTATCACCATTACTATACTTATCTTAATAATGACTGTTACTACTATTATTATCATTTTTTCGTAATTATATTATTGTTATTGTTGTTTTTGTTATCACTATTATTTTCATTGTTATCATCATTGTTATCATTATTATCGGGATTATTTTTGTCATTATCATTGTTATCATTATTGTTATTATTATCATTATCATTACTATAATTGTTTTTTTAATCATCATTATAATTATTAGCAGTAGTATTGTGGTCATCATTATCAATGTTATTGTTATCATTATTGTTATTATTGTAACTATTATCATTATGATTATTCTAATTATAGTTATCATTATTATTATTATTGTTATCACTGTCATTGTTAATACTATTAATTTTATCATTAGTAATATCATAATGATTGTTGTTGTTGTTATATTTATTATTGTCTTCATTATCATTGTTTTTGTCATCATCGCCATCCTCATCATTATCATTATCATCACCATCATCATTATCATCACCATCATCATTATCATTTTAGCATCATTATTATTGTTCTTATTATCATTATCATTTTTATTAATATCAACATACCTTTATTACACCATTTTCATTATGATCATCATTTTATTAAACCAGTATTAACTACTGATATTATGATCATTAGAACTATTTTCCTCATTGCTGTTAACATTATTGTCATAATCATTATCATCATTACTATCATTATAATTTCTATAATAATTATTATCACTGCTATCATGATTCGTATGATTATAAATCTTACCATTTTTGTTTGTATTAAGTTCATATTTTCTGTCTTTATTATTATGATATATAAAGATTTCGTTTTTGTTAATACTATCGCTATTGTTATCGAGATCAAGTCGTAAACATTATATTATTTTGATAAACATAAAAGAGGAGTTTGGCAACAATAAGACAACATTAGAGATAGTTATGACGATGATCACCAAGTTAACGATTATGATAATAATGATAATGATGGTGATAGTGCTAATGACATCGCTGGTGATAGTTTTGATAACAATGCTAATAGTTATCAGAATTATATTGCCAGTAATTATTAGGATAACATTAGCAATTATAACAAAATTGTTAATAAAGATCATTATGATAATGATAAAGCTAATGGTAATAAGAGTAGTGATAGTGGTGACGCCTGTGATCGTACTAATGAAACACGAATACAGTAATAATAATTAAAAGTAATATTAATGATTATCCTCAAAGCACTGATGATGCTGATAATAATACCGTAACAAAAAATATGTCGATGTCGATCATAACAGTAGTCTTGAATGCATTTGCAAAATAAACTGCAACAGCTTTGCACGACACACACAAAGGCAATTGCCGTAAAAGCGAAAATAAGAAACCAACTTCGCCACAGATGAAACCATTTCAAAATTCGCGGTTCCATCGGCTACTGTGGAGGTAGTTCATCCGAAGTGAGTCATTCGCCAACATCTATGACTCATCTTAATAACTTCTATGAACAAGAAATTGAAATACGGCATCTATTATCATAAATACGACCTACTAAAACGCGCATTCATTTTCTTTCATGCATAAAATTAGCTAAATAACGAAACCGAGCGTCCATCTTATAGCAGGCCTGATCATCGCTACCTTGCCCTATGCTGATCAGTGTCTTCCAGAAGCTTTTGAGCAAGTCATGGAAAAATATTGATAGCTTCGACCCACTAAAACAATCAATTTACGCATGAACCACACTCCTATGAATAATAAATCCCCCAAATTACGATAAAATTGAATTATTCCTTCCCGAAGAGCAGCAGACGCGTCTAAATAATGCACGTGGAGATCGAAGCCAAACACACCACCGTTTCCAGCCAGTGAGCGTGGACGGCACATCCGCCATTGGACAGTACGCGCCTCAGCCTTGGCGTCGCGTTGAAAGAGAAAGTAGTCTTTTAATGAATTTTTGCGTCACTTGCTCGTCGTTTTTTTTTTTAAATTCTGCTGACGTTCGATATGGGTTTATTTACTGTGTTATGCTGTTAAGTAAACCGTATTGTATTTAGTTCTGTGTTGAGGATAGATGTTTGCTGTCATGCGGTGAAATACGAAACGATGTTAAAATATGCTGCAATATTATTCTAAAGAAAATTTGTTTATTTTTTGCATATAAACGGTTTATGTACTTGATACACTGATATACGCAACATTGTACAATTGTAAACATTTTGATATACAAAAAGTATATAGTGAATTGACCTGCATTTATACCTATTTAGAGATCCTTATTCTCATAAGTCTGTATATATATATATATATATATATATATATATATATATATATATATATATATTAGAGATAGATAGATAGACAGATATATAGACATACAGATTGATAGATAGATAAGCAGAGTGAGATGCTATATATATATGTATATAAATATATGTATATGTGTGTGTGTGTGTGTGTGTGTGTGTGTGTGTATGTGTGTGTGTGTGTGTGTGTGTGTGTGTGTGTGTGTGTGTGTGTGTGTGTGTGTGTGTGTGTGTGTGTGTGTGTGGTGTGTGTGTGTGTGTGTGTGTGTGTGCATATATGCACAGACACTCACCTCCCACATATACATATATACCACACACACACACACACACACACACACACACACACACACACACACACACACACACACACATATATATATAAATATACATATATACAAACATGTGTGTGAATGTGTGTATGCATATATCAATGTGTATGGATTCATATGCTATTTATTTGCACTGTTACTCGCGACGCAATGTTCTTTCATAATCGATTTAAGTTATTTAATATCGATCTTAGTATAAGAAATATTCAATGATGTGACGTGAACCTATTCATTTATTTTGGATGTGCTTTTGGAGTGCATAGAAAACTATGTTCGTGTTTTTGATAACATTGCCAATTCTACTTATGCAGTGTCGCATTAACATTATTTGTATATGTTGTGAAGAAGAAACAATTTAAATAAAATACGAGAGTACAAAATATCATTCGGCGTTCCGTTAACCATAAAATAGAATATTAACCGCTTACCTAGATCTCATTAAAGGGTTACGCTTAAAATAACTTATCTGTGTGATTAGATATGTGTGAATAGTAGTTTTGTTGAATTATGGATATACTGATATGTTTAAAATGCTTGTAATTAATCGTTCCATTCATATTTTTTTCAATCTTCAGAAAAAAATTAATTTGTCGTATATTGCTTCAAGAGAGGTAAGTATATGCAATATGACAAGCAAAATGACTAGACCATATCTTAACTTGCAGTGGTGCTGAAGGATTTTATTGTCTGAAAATTGATAATCATTAGAGAATAAATTTTATTCGAAATACAAGTTTCAAAGTGTGGTCCAAAATTTGGCGCCAAAATCGCGTGGCGATGCTCGTTTGTCGTTGATTAGGGAATTGTGGGAATGTCTCGGCCAATCACGATTCACCGCCACAATAAGCTCCGCCCCCACACTCACTCAAAACATCAAGTAAATCTTGCGGCTCCTCGTTATTTTTCCTAATATCATGTGCCTTTTGCCTCTGTGGTACTTGCTTTCATGATAAATATTGATATAAGTCATCAGTGCTTAGTCGAGTCGCCCGAAACGAGGCGGAAGCGGCGTTGATCGAGTGAAAAACGCGATTATATAACCTGTCATCGAACTCCCGGGAAAGTTGAGGTCTCGAGAACAGTGAAGTTGGTGTTGATGCTTTGTCTCGGTGCCGGAACTCGGCCTCCGAGCTGAGGAAAAAGCCTCCGTGTCCCTCGCCTCGGCCTCACGGGCTCACGCTGGCCGCCGGGGTGCACGCGCTGCCCTCCGGTGCCTCGTCCAGCAGCGTTTAGTTTAAATCGAGTGTTGTCTTTCCCGCGCAGGTTCAGGTGTCGTGTGGCGACGGTGGCGGCGTGTGAAGAGAGGGAAAGAGAGAGAGATAGACACAGAGAGAGAGAGAGAGAAGGACCGAATAGGAGTCAGAGGAGAGACGGCGCGAGAATCTGAATAAAACCCGGAGGAAGGAAGGAAGAGAAGAAGAAGAGTGTAAACGAAGCGTCCAGTCGGGAGGTCGTCAGCTGTGCCCATCAGCTGATTTTTGTTTTCTTTCTGTTTTTCTTTCCTTTGGCGGGAGAAGAAGAGATTGAAGAACGAGAGAGAGAAATAAAAAGCCAAACTGGGAAAGAAAGGGATTGAGACCGAGAAGAGAACTAGGAGGGAAAGGGAACTAAGAGAAAGAGAAGAAGGTGAAGGACTCTCCATGACTCTCCTCTGAGATGCCGCTTCTGAACAAGAGACCTTTCACGAGGAAGGAGCCCTCGTCCAGCCTCCTCGACCAAGATAAGGTCTTCTACTGCGAGATCACCAATGAAGTCTTCACCGACTACGAGTGAGTATTTTGTTGGAGTTCATATTTGATCTCCAGATCTGCTCTATTTTCGTAATTTTTTTCCTTCGTGGTTCGTAGACTCAAGTTTCCATTGGCAGATTTTTGCTCTTCTGTTACGTCACATTATTTAGAGGGCAGAGGGTCGGAAAAAATACCTTTTATTTTCTTTTATGGTTTAATGTGTAATTGCTTTAGGTTAAGAAAAAGAGATTATTTTTCCCTTTCCTTTCCTTTTTGGTTGTATCGTAGGCCTACTCCTTTGGTATTTATATTTATTGGGTGTTTGAAGATTACTGTTTTACCATTTAGTTTTCTAACAATTTTGTAAGAGAAAGTATATGTAAACAATGTTTGCAAGCATTTGTGTAAAATGTGGGAAAAGCTGTTGTCTTTGTTATCCATTGGTCTGACATCTTCAGCAGTGAAAACAAAGGAAATGCTTGGAAAAAATAATTGCTTTCGTCATTACTTGTTAATGTTATTAACATATTGTCGTTACATTGATTTTACTAAGTATGTGCATTGTTTTCAGGAATTTAATCATAACATTTGTTTGTTGAATGAGTCTATTGCAGGGATGATCATGGGGGCAGAGAGAGAGATATAAACTCTTGGTCATTGTGTAATGAATGATTGGCATTAAAATATAATGGGATACCAAGTTTGATTTTTTTCTAGTAGTGATTCTGATGGTAATTTACAAAATATCTTTATTTTCTTTTCATATTTTTATTTTTGAGAATATTAGATGTACTATAGATTATATGGATACACCAAAAAATAATTAAGATACCAATGACAGTTTGATTTTAGACATTTTATATGGATTTGGGTATCTTTTGAACCCATGCTTTAACAAAGTACAGGTGGTTGATATGAATTCAGTTGGGAGACGTAAAGGAGGGGGCAAAACTAAATGTAATTCATGATGACTTCCCTTCGCACTATTTATGCATTGTGTAGTGAATGCCATTTTTTGGAGGGTATCCCATATTAATTTTAATTTGACACCAATGTTATTGGGAGTGCCTTATGTAACTTCCAGTGTGGCCTGAGTGACATATTTCATTTTGTAACCATGCCATGATTGAAATTATTTACCCCGAGCCAAATGGATATAAAAATGAGATTGAATTACACAATCAGTGGGACACTGATGCCATTCCTTCACAAGTTTTTCAGTAATAGTGATAGTTGAATATGTAAGTGGATTGTGTATGATTATGATATATCACATCCATGTTAACTTTTCAGAATAAAGTAGTTCTGTAAATGAGAAAATTCAAGAAAAAAAATGTATAATTTTAAGATTTTTGATTTTGTTTTTGTTTCACATTTCTGTTTGGTATTCATGAATTGCATATTGCGTAATATGTGCTGTTTTAGAAGTCATAGGGATTGCTTGATTTTCAGTACTCTGGCAAATTACAAAAAGTTCATGTAACCCAAAGGATTTCACATCCTGGCTGGAGAGCTGCACAGTTGCTCGATGGGACACTCATTATTATTGGGTGACATTATATTGGCTCGTATAAACCCCAAATGTAATTGGGGTGATGGTGGGAGACCCTAAACTTTATTTGTAAATCCTTATTAGTGTGAAATTATTATGATGGTTATTATTATTTGGGTTAATATTATGTCATTTTTATGGTCTTTGTGTATTTCTTTTAAATGTGTACTCCTTTATATACTTCATGCCCCTTTTAGCTGTTTGAACTTGTATTTTTGCTCTAGACAGTTTTCGTCGGGTATAACTCCAATAAAGGCACTCAAAACCTCAGAGGCAATCCATTTTTAGATTTTCCATGTGGAACTTTTCTGAATAAACCAATACGGTAACGCCTAGCAACCGCCCGTAGCAACAAACACTTGGTGAAAACAAAACCCCTATTCTTTCGAAAACTCCCATATATATACATATATATATATATATATATATATATATATATATATATATATATATATATATATATATATATATATATATATATATATATATATATATATATATATATATATATATATATATATATATATATAGATATATATATATATATATAATATATATATTATATATATATTTTTTTTTTTGAGTGAAAATGCAGTATGTTTAAACTACAACATGATGAGAAGGTAAGGTTTAACCTTTCATATATTTCCAGATTGCAAAAAGAAACCTGAAAAGTGGAAATGATGGGTACAGGCCATGAAAAGGGTGAACGATGATAATATTTGGGTGCCTGGTGGAAACTTTGTTTACATCTGCTCAGAACATTTTTTTACATATTAATATTTTACACCTTTTCAAGTTCTAGAGACAAATAATTACTTTCAAATTCTATCCATCTACACTATCTACCAAACAAGTTTAACATTGCCGAAATTCAGTTTTGGCAGCAGTTATACACCAAAAGGCACAACAGCAATTTTACATTTTTGTGTAATAAATTGATTTATCATAATCTTAAATTACAGGCAAACCATCCTCTGATCTAACTCCCCCAGACTCTATCCCAATGAAAACAAATCAGTCATACTTATAGACCTTTACATGACTTCATTGTCTCCTTTGTATAAACACCTAGTAAATGGAAAGAAAAGTGGTTAGGAAATAGCACTGATTTCAAGGAAAAATGACCTTATAGCTATCATTATAGATTACTGTAGCAGATTATGTTATCATAAAATTATTTTCATGACATGGTGTGTCGATCAATTATTCTTAGATGTCAGGATATTTAATATTTCGAAGGATCATTGATCCCAATTTTATCAGGCAGACAGTTGGGGCACTCTTTTAGTTGCACAGCTTCCAGTTTTGCTTAATATCGCTTTTTTGCATGGTTTTTAAAGAATCAAATCATTCATACGCCATTTTCACTCACGCTGATTGTGAAGCATCTGCAAGCGAGGAGTTTGTTTTTACCAAGTGGAATGGTGACTCTTGACTCGTGACGTCACACCAAATCGGTTTATATGTAGTTAGTTTGCTTTGAGTTATTATGTTTAAGTTGCTGTTTTAACTTTACTGATGTTAATCAAAATGATTTAATTTTATCATATTTGTTTTATCAATATACAATTTTATTTAACATGGATTTTTTATATATTTTTTTATCAATATATAGTTTGTCTTCTTGCCCAGAGTAGAAAGTTGGCAAGCATTTCACTTGGGTTTAAGAGAGAATCATTAATGCAGAGACAACTCCAAGACTGCCTCATAGATATGCATACCACACACACATTGCAGTCTCTCTCTCTCTGAAGGAGTTCATTGCTTTGTCTAGAAAGCTTCAGCTAGCATTATTTCATCTGAAGGTATCAGGTAGAATTGTTCTGTAGGGTAATTTGTTACAATTCCTTTTAAGCAGGCATTCTTTCTTTTGTTTTGTTAATTCTAATTTTTCTTTCCTTTTCTTTTTTTTTTCTAAAATCCTCCTTTATTGGTTCAATTTAAAGTAATCATTATTTACATTTTATTTGCTGCTTTATTTTTTGTTTTCCTTACGTGTGTATTTTTGATAATGTAAATAAGTCGTATTATTTTGGATTGTAGACTGTGTAAAGACTGCATGAATTGTAACATAATGGTTAATAATTTTTTGCAGTGAGTACTGGGAGAGATTGGTGTTGTGTAATGCTATGGTATGGACCTGTGAGCTGACAGGACGACCAGGTCTCACATATGCAGAAGCTTTGGAGAGTGAGACAAAGGCCAGAAAATGCCTTGCCAATGTCCCAAAGGTGAGGATATTTTTTTTCTTTGTTTCATTGCTTTATATAATTATTTATTATTAGGGGAGGATGAGTTTTGTGGTGATTTTGAGTGATTGATTAGGAAAAGTTTCCTTACATGGGAGTGTAGTGACATTTGGATATAGGATCAATCTTTGCATTGTATGATATATTCTACTGGAAAAAGAAAGCAACCACAGATTATTCCCTATTAAAATCTGTTGGGATCTTGTAATAGTACCAGTTGCTCGTGTGGATAATTTTTCTAATTTTTTTTAACAGCCTCTTCACAAACCAATGATATACATAGGCTCATTGACACGGCGTGGTCGTTATGCTGACATGAGCGATGATGTTTTCAACTTCATCAGAGACCGTTACTTTGTTGATGAAGAGGTGGAGGCCATTGTCAACAAGCATTGGTATGATTGCAAGGTGAGTAGGATTTGTGTTTGTTATTATATTTGTTTTTTATTATAATTGAAAATGGTAGATAATATTTGCATGTTTCTTTGAAATCGATACACACAGACATACACGAAAAAAGGTGTAGATGCTGCTGATACATATTTATTAAATTTTCAATAAAGTTTTGTCGTTAGAAACTTGCAGTTAGATATTTTTTGTATATATTCATATTTATGATTGTTAGATGTGTTTACTTTATTGGCTCCTAAATAAGATTAATGGTGTCGAAAAAAAACTTGCTAGATAATGCCAAACTTCATTAATAGTTGTCATACATATCTCGCTGACAGTAAAAAAGACAAATTTTTGACAGGTCATGTAAGATGATGCCATGAATGTGGTAGACGAGTGTTTGATGAGAGTTTGAGAAGTTATAGTTGTGGTAAATAGGACTTTCAATAGTTAATCATATGCACCCATATCCAGTGCTATTTGAAATGTGTACAATAGATTCTGTAAGCAGGCAGCATGAAAAATCTTTGTATATAATGAATAAAAAAAAAAGTTTCCTGGCATTGGATGTCAGATCAGGTTACATGTGGTCTGATCAGAAACAGGCTTATCATTACTTGTACTCATTATTGCAGAATAGGATGTTTGATGGTAATGGTTAAAAGGTTGAGGCATAATTAAATACAGGGATTAGAACAAACCTTCAAATTCTAGTAACTAATCTGAATGTTTAAGGACAATAAAAAGTTCAGTTAACACTATAATTAAGATATACAAAGCCCAGACTTAGACCAGTGGGATAATCCTGAAAGGAATTAAAGAGACTTCAGTGTTAGTAGGATGGGTGAGAGAGAATACTTAATAAATCATAAGCGTCAGACCAATTACTAAGTAGCTGCTTGTGCTGTTGAAATCAAGAGATCCCCCCCCCCCCCCACAATAGTCTGTATGGAGATAGTAGGTGCATTTTCTCTTGAATTGGGAAAAAAATGTGATTGATTTCCAATATCATCTCCAATTCTTTATTTTTATCCAACACCAGAAGAAATAGCCAAATATGAAGAAGAAATGGCAGACAGTGATGAAGAGGAAGAGGAGGAGGAACAGAAGAAAGAACAAGAGGAGGTAAAGGTGAATGGTACAGCAGCAGAGGATGATGATATTCAAGTAATCAAAGTTCTTGAGAAGAAAGAGGAGAAGAAGAAAAAGGATGAGGATGAAGATTATCCACCCTTTGCTACCTACAAATATGAAGTTATTGAAATTGAACCCTGGGACAATAAGGAAGCCAAAGTAAGAAAATTTCTCTCTCTCTCTCTCTCTCTCTCTCTCTCTCTCTCTCTCTCTCTCTCTCTCTCTCCTCTCTCTCTCTCATTCTATCTCTCGTCTCTCTCTCTCTCTCCTCGTCTCTCTCTCTCTCTCTCTCTTTCGCTCTCTCGACTGGACGTCTTTGCCATCTCTCACGTCTTTCTCTCACGACGTCTCTACGGTGCGATATTATTCATTTCGGATTTTGAGGCGTGGCGACGTGACTCTTCCCTGGCGTTCCTACTCTCCTCTCTCCCTCTCCTCCTCTCTTTCTCTTTTTTTTCTCCTCTTCCTCTGCTCCCTCTTTCCTCTTCCCCCTCTCTCTCCTCTATCATCTATCTATCTTTCCTCTCCTCCTTTTTTCTCCTCTTCTCTCTCTCTCACTCCCTTTCTCTCTCTCCTCTCTCCTTTCTCGCTCACCTCCTTCTCTTATGCTCTCTCTTCACCTCGGGGCGTCCCTTTCAGTCTTTCTCTCTCTGCCTCTCGCAGCCCTCCGTCTTTCTTCTCTCTCTCAGTCTTTCTCTCTCTCCTCATTTCTCTCTCTCTGCTCTCTCCGTTCTCGTCTCTCCTTCTCTCTCTCGTCTCTCGCTCTCTCGTCCCTCCTCTCTGGTATCATCATCCGTCTCGTACATCGAGTGGCTTCGTACCACTCCTCCGCCCCTTCTCTCCTTCCCGCTCGTCCCTCCCCGTCCCTCTGCTCGCTCCGTCGTCGTTCCATCCTCGTCTTCTCTCTCTCCTAGGTGACATTTCTCCTC